GGGGGGGGGGGGGAGGGTGGTGGGGGAGGGAGAGGGGCACGGCACTGACCTGTGTTGTGAGCCTGAAGCTGGGAGGCGGAGTTCACTGTCACCTTGCACGTGGGGCAATAGAGGCGCCCCTTCTCGCTCCTGCCCTCCCCGTTCACACCGTTTCCCACAGCAGCCACTGCGGGCTCAGGCCCTGGCGCCTCTCTCCCAGGCTCTGGGGAGCAGGGTGGGCAGGAGGAAGAAGAGGAAGAGGAGGCAGCATCCAAGAGATCTGAGTGAGCCGGCTCCCTCGGCGTGGGGTCCAGAGTCAGCGGTGGCTGGAGTTGGGGGCCAGGGGGTGGGGCTGCAGGAACGGCTGGGGAGATGGAACGCATCAGGTTAGAATCATCTGGAGGCCATGATTTTAAGTAGTGATATATTGGGGGTGGCATGACAGAGTGGAAGCATCCCTGGTGTCGGGATGACCAGCAGTGGGTTCCAGACTCTCCCACCAACTCACTGGGCAGACTTGGGCCTCTTTAGGCCTCAGCTTCCCCATCTGAAAATGTAGAGTTGGACAGAGTGGTCTCAGATAGCCCTCACAGCCCCGATACTTTACAGTTCTTTGCTAACTGTTAAATAAGCGGAAGTTGCCAATAAGATGTGCTGTTATATTCATAGAGCACTATTTGTAATAGCCTAAAACTGGAAACTGTCCAAAAATCCATCAACAGGAGAATAGAGTTAAACAAAAAAAGAGAGGGGAACCTGACTGGCTCAGTCAATAGAGCAGGCGACTCTTGATCTCGGGGTTGTGAGTTCAAGTCCCATGCTAGGTATGGAGATTACTTTAAAAACAAAAATATATATTTTTAAAATTTCTTTAGGGGTGCCTGGGTGGCTCAGTCGGTTAAGCGTCTGACTTCGGCTCAGGTCATGATCTCACGGTCCAGGAGTTCAAGCCCCGCATCGGGCTCTGTGCTGACCGCTCAGAGCCTGGAGCCTGTTTTGGATTCTGTGTCTCCCTCTCTCTCTGACCTTCCCCCATTCATGCTCTGTCTCTCTCTGTCTCAAAAATAAATAAACGTTTAAAAAAATAAAAAAAAATAAAATTTCTTTAATGTTTATTTTTGAAAGAGAGAGAGAGACAGAGCATGAGTGGGGGGAGGGGCAGAGAGAGAGGGAGACACAGAGTCCGAAGCAGGCTCCAGGCTCTGAGCTGTCAGCACAAAGCCCAATGCAGGGCTCGAACCCATGAACCTTGAGATCGTGGCCTGAGCCGAAGTCAGACGCTTAACTGACTGAGCCAGCCAGGCTCCCCTCAAAACAAAAAAACTTAAAAAAAAAAAAAAAGACAGTGTTGTACGGTCATTAAATGGAACACTACACAGCAATAAAAATGACAAACCACAGCTGTATGCAACAACATGGAAGAGGCCAGGCACAAAAGTTCCATGCGATAGGATTCACCAAAACCAGGTGCAACGGATCGATGGCAAAAAAAGTCAGGATCACCTGGGGGAGGGTGGTTGAATTCAAGTGGTTGATTAGCATCACCCCAAATTTCACATCTGCATGAAACCCCAGAATGTGATCTTTGGAACCAGGGTCTGTGCAGATGTTAAGTAGTTAAGATGAGATCACAGTGGACTGGGGTGTGCCCCAATCCAATGACTGGTGTCCTTATAAGAAGACCACATGGAGACACAGAGACACAGGGAGAACGTGATGTGAAGACACAGGCAGAGATTGGAGGGATGCATCTACAAGCCAAGGAACGCCACGGCTTGGCAGCAAGTGCCAGAAGCTAGAAGACAGGCATGGGACAGACTCTCCATCTGAGCCCCCATGAAGGAATCAACCCCATCAACACTTGGATTTCAAACTTCTGATTTGAGCCACTGAGTTTTCAGTCATTGATTATGGTAGCCTAGGAAGCTACTACAACAAGGTGGTCACCCGGAGGGGACCAAGGAGGGCTTCTGGGTGCTTGTTTCTTGATCTTGGTATATTCAGACTGGGAAAATTCATCGAGCTCAACACTTGTGATGTGTGCCTTTTTCTGTATATATGGAATACCCCAACATACGCAAAAATAATAACAATATGCAGGGGCGCCTGGGTGGCTCAGTCAGTTAAGTGTTCGACTTCGGCTCAGGCTATGATCTCACAGTTCGTGACTTCGAGCCCCACATCGGGCTCTGTGCTGACAGCTCAGAGCCTGAAGCCTGCTTCAGGTTCTGTGTCTCCTTCTCTTTCTGCCCCTCCCCCACTCAACTCTGTGTGTGTGTGTGTGTGTGTGTGTGTGTGTGCGCGCGCGCCTGCACACGTGTCTCAAAAAAATGAATAAATGTTTTAAAAGTAATAATAATATGCAGAAATCTCCCAACCCCTCGCCAGAAACCAGATTTGGATTGGGGTTCCAAACCAGATTTGGAACTCTTTCAGGACTGACCTTTGCTGTGCGGCTCTCCAGGGGATCCACTGGCTGGAGTCAGGGTGGGGGACACCAGCACCCCATCCCGGGCCAGGGTTTGTGGCCTCTGCTTGCTCTTGGCGGCTTCGACAGCCTTGAGTTTTCTGGCATGTTTGTGGCCTTTGTAATGTGCTTCAGCTTGGTTCTGGGGAGGGGAGGACTTGGGGTCACCATTTTTTGCTGAGTCCACATGCCCCATCCATGAACTGGCGAGGGGCAGGGGACAGGTCAGAGGGGACAGGGCTCTGGCCAGACAAGAGGTGAATCCTTGTCATCACAGCATTTGTGTGGCCTTGAGGTTTACAGAACTCATTCTCATACATGAGCCTCCAGGCAAGCAGCCTCTGGCTTCAAATTCTGTCTCAGCCACTTGATGAGCTGTGCATCCCTGGGCAAATCGCCTCACTTCTCTGAGCCTCATTTTGCTGACTTGTAAACTTTGTGATGACAATACTGACCTTGAAGGGTTGTGAGAATTAAAAAGAGAACATGAATGACAGGGGCCTAGTACATACAGCACGTGCTCAACGATGTTAGTTACCAGGTTCATAAATGCACAAATGGAAAAAATAGAGCAGTCCTCATGCTTCGGGTATGTGCACCCCAGAACATTCATCTCTTTGTTCAGTTGTTCAGCAAATAGTTGTTGAGCATTCGCTCTTTGCCAGGCTCTGTGCCAGGAGCCCAGCATGGAGAAGACATGGTCCTTCCCTCAGAGCGAGGTCTTTCTGTCCATCTCTTATAAGGTTCATATAACCTGAAAGCCTGGAGGAAACCCCTGAATCTGGCCTGTTCGTGTCCTCCCCCCTTCACCTAGGGGTCCCTGCTTGTTGCTCCCAAGTATAGGAAAGACAGGCCCCCATGGTCCCTCCCTAGACCTTTTCACCAGAGCAGATCTCTCCAAGCCCCACAGTTGTCCAGAGAGAAGGTAAATCTTCCCTGGGAGGCCAGAATGAGGCTTCTCCACTATCTAGGGGCAGGCTGTGGTAGAAAGTATGTGGGCCTTGGGGTCAGCCAGGCCTGGGCTCAAATCTCAGCTCTGCTACTCACCAGCTGTGTGACCTCGGACAAGTCACTTAACCTCTCTGAGGCTCATTTTCCTCATCTGAAAAGTGGGGATGATAACAGGGCCTCTATCCATCTAACAAGGTGTCATGAGAACTAATTAAGATGATGGGCATGAAAACGTTCAACATGTTAACTGTCAGATGCTTTAAGAACTCAGCTCCAGACTAGGAACTGATGGTGTCCCTTGGGACCCAGAGCAGGAAAGGTCAGTCTTCTCTCTTGCAGAAGGATCCAGGACACAGGAGAGAAGCGGGAGGGAAATGGAATCCCAGGACCACTAGAGAGGGAGGGAAGAGGCAGAGGAATTTGGGGAGAGGAGAGGGTGGGATGGGTAAAGGACCAGGAGTGCCTCTTCTGCACCCAGGGACAGAAAATATGGACCCCAGTCCCTTTGCCGGCCTTATTCCTCCAGGAAAGACCCCGGAAGCCATTGTCCAGCCCCCTCCCTGCCCAGCCTCCTCCCCAATCTGTTTCCACTGCTCCCTCTCACCGCTGAGTTGAACCTCAGGTGACAGATGTTACAGGAAATGAAGAGCTTCTTCTTCAGAGGGGAGGGGACCCCAAACGTGTGGCTGATGACAGCTTTCTGGATTGGGTCCATCTGTGAAGGGGGTGGGAGGGCACAATAACTCTGGGGTCGGCTTGGTGGGGGGAGGGGGCAGCGCAAAATGCCAAAAGCTAGGGACTATTGAGGAGGGCAGGAATCAGGCCGTAGGAAGAACTTCCCCATCCTTGTGGATAGGAGACACACAAACAATCTCTTCCCCGGGTTTCTGCTTGGAGGCAGTGGGATGGCCAGGGTGGCCTCCATGATCGGGAGAAACAGAACCATGTCCTGGTGATCACCTTGGCATCTCTTGCAGCCCCTCTGGTCTCGGGTTTGTTGTTGTTGTTGTTTTCCTCATTCATAAGAATCACAACTATTGGGACAGAGTTAGAGGCAGGGAGAAGCAGGGAAGGGACAAAGGGTCTTCTGTTGGAAATCCTGTCCCACAACCCAGCTTTGCGCTGGGCCCATGGGCTGGGACAGAGAAGGCTGATCTCATCAGCTCTGCCACTGTCACAGAGCCTGAGAAGGGGAGTGAGAGCAGGGCTGGGGCAGGTGGGGGGCCGGGAAAGGACAGGCAGCAGCACATGGAGGCCAGAAGGTTCCCCGAGCAGCAGGATCATTTCTTTGGAACATTAATTTACGTGGTTTCTTTTTCCCTTTTCCTTATTTTAACTATTTTTTTTTCTCTCCTATCAAACCAAGCCTTCCTGTTCCCTTTTCTCAGGGCCTGGCTTGTTGGACCAACAGCAGAAGTGGTCTCGGCTTGCTTATCAAGAGGAACTTTCTCAACCTTCCTGAGAGAAGAGAACAGAGGCTTTGAGAAAAAAGCATGCCTTCAGAAACTTTCCTGAGAACAGAAAGAGGTTCTAACCCTCACCTAACAGCACCGAGGGCTGGGGGCAGGCAGAGGACAGGAGAATGGCCAGCAGGGCCCCCAGGGAGGAGGGCGACAGAAGCTTTACCCACTCCCAAGGGACTGTGTGCATGAGCAGTGAGTGTGTCAGCAAGTGACAGAGGGGACTGAAGAACAGGGGACCCTCCCCAAAGGACTCAGGCTCCTTCAGATCTCTGTGTGACCTTGGAGGTTGGAAAGGGGCTCCAAAGAGTGACTGAGACTGAATTTCCCACCATCTTGTCAGGTAGGGTGGGCTCCTTGATGATTACATTTGATTTTCCAGAATTAAACAAAGCAGGGAGTTACTCCTTATCACTCATGGAGTGAAGTAAAATTCATGCTCCCTACACTTCCATTCACACACATGCACACATGGAAATACACAGACTGGTACACACACACATAGCACATAAGCCTACGGGCAGTTACAAATCACAGAGCCATGCAGAAAGATACACACTCACATGCATACGAATGGCACACTTGCATAGACACACAATCACCCAAACCACACAAACACACACACGCTCAGAGGTCACACACATCAAACACATACAGAGTTGACACAAAGACACAAAAATATCTCTCAGATACACAGGCATACACATTAATTACATACAAGGGCCCAGGCACAAAGAGATGTTTACAAACACACACACTCACACACACACACACACACACACACACACTCACAACCACAAGGAACACACAAAGACCCACAGACACATAAACTAAAATAGAAGGGCATACCCCAAATGCACACAGACGTACACAGATCACCCATAGATGTCCCTATACAAAAATTCAAGTATAACCTACAGACGACAGGCCCAGCAGGTGTTACTGGAACCATCCTCATTCCCTGGCCTAAGGAAAAGCTGGGCCAGGGGTCCCCATTTGGGGGGCACCTAGTCACTCTTGGGGATGTCGTTTGTACTTATACCCAGTTTCTGAGAGCCAGCCCCTCTGAACCCACCTTCCCTGCCCACCCCAAGCTTGGCCGCATGCCCCCACCCGCCAGCCCAGCCCGTACCGTGCTGAAGTTGGGGGTGAGACTGAGCGGGGTGGCGCCATTGAAGTGGAAGGCGAGCAAGTGCTTGAAGTCCAGCGGGGGCTGCAGAGGCCTGGCAGGCAGGGGCAGGGAGGCCAGCAGGGGGCTGGGGGCGCTGGAGGCCGGGCCTGCTGCAGGAGGAAGAAGGGCAGGGTCTGAAATGGGGAGCCACGGGGCTCACATCTACCTCCACAGCCAGAAAAAGAGGCGGATGGGCTTCTCGGGTGTGGAGCTGGGGCAGAAACTCCTGTCTCCCTCTTCACAAAGTAGCACTGGCTAAGCCCAGGGCAATTACCGCCCATTTCTGTGCCTCTCCTCTCCACAACCGGAGGAGCAGAAGCCCACAGTTTGTGGTTCCCAGTCCAGGAGGATGCCCCTCCCATCCCCTATAGAGGTAGCAGAAGTACCCCATGAATCCCAGGCCAGAGGAGTCCTGACACACACACAGCACCATGGAGACTGCGAGATGCACTGGGTTTCCAGTTTATTGCAAGTTAAACCCAAACCCCTCTCACTAATGCCCACACAGTCACAGCAAGGCTGACAGAGGGGATTGGAAACCCATTGGAATCTGAAGGGATGTGTCCTCCCCCCCCTCCCCCCCCAGCTCTGGCGAGGCCCCAACTCCTTCTCCCCAGAGGCAAAAAGCCCTCCAGCTCCTCCTGGGTGTGGCCTGAGGCTGGTCCTCAGAGTTGGCCCTTCCAGCCCTGTGGTTTTACAGTCTTTGGTCTTAAAGGTCTGAGGCAAGGGTGGGGGAAGGCTCAGAACTTTGGGGAGCAACCAGACTTTGAGGAAGAAAAACATTAGAAATAAATGCAGTCCGTTGAAACTTTTCTGGACTCTGTCATTGCAAAGCCGGAAGAAGTCCTTTTCGATTTTTTGTGTGTTAACGATATGCAAGATAGATTTATTTTACATTTGTAGATGTGTATATCTATATACACAGCCACATATAGGCAGCCTACCAGTGGGTGGGGAGGTAGGGCACCACCCCCACCTCCCTTGAACTGGTAGCTTGTGCACAGAGAGGGTGCTGTGCTGTGTCGACACCAAGGAAGTCATCTGCCGTCTAGTCCTATCTGAAGAGAAGAGATGCTGCCAGGCAGGGAGCTAACAGCCAAGGACCCATTCCCCTTTCCCTCAATCCCTCAGACCCAGTCTTCCTTTCTCCCTCCAACCAAGACTCCTCAGCTTTTCTATGGCCCAAACCTGGGCTGGGTCCAGAGGGAAAATGGTGAGCTACTCCTCCCCAAACTCTGGCAAGGGCAGGAGTGATACTGAGGGTGTCCCCAAACCCAGCATCTCCGTGGGCTCGCCCAGGACCCCCTCGACACAGCCCTTCCTCCACAGCCCACGGGGCTGGGTTAGTACTCAGCGTGGAGCGGAGGAAGCACGGGGCAGGTGGTTGGAAGGCCACAGTTAGGGGGTCAGCTTGGGTGCAGCACGGTCACCTAGAGTCTGTCTTGGCCCCTAGAGTGCTCAGGGCCCCAGGCTGTCTGGGCGGAGGGAAGGGGGCCGCCCTCACGTGAGCTGTGACCCCAGGAGCCCCTCCGCCCACCCACTCTCCAAGAACTCCACGGCGAGTGCAAAGTCAAACTCGTGCAGCGGGGGCCCATCCACGGCGATCTTCACCGCCGGGCCGCCCCGGCCTGCCCCTGCCCCGCTCTGCCCCCACCACCGCAGCTCCCGGCTGCGGCCCACCTTGTCCAGGAGGCCGGCGCCCGCGGGCAGCGCCAAGGCCAGGGCGGCAAGGGCGGCGAAGTCCGGGAAGAGCTCGTGCAGCTCGGAGCGCGCGCAGGCCAGCTTGGCGCACAAGGCCCGCGGGCCCAGCCGCCCGAGGCTGCACACCACGCGCTTGAAGAGCGCGAAGTCGCCCAGCGCCCTCTGGCGCACCACGGCCGGGGCGAAGGCGCGCAGCAGCACCCGCAGTGCCCCCTCGCCGTGCGCGCCCAGCTCCTCGGGGGCCTGCGGGTAGCCGCGCGAGTCGAAGATCGCCGCGAAGGCGGCCACGGCGTCCAGCGAGGGCCCGGGGTAGGAGTCCCGCAGCCCCCGCCGCATGGAGTCTAGGAAGGCCCCCCGCAGCCGCTGCAAGCCCCGCAACGCAGCCTCGGAGTAGCCGACCAGCTCCACGCCGCGGTAGGTGCAGCGCCCACCGCCCAAGTCAGAGCTGGAGGACGCCAACTCCTGCAGGAAGCCCTGGAGGCGCGCCCCACCCGAGCTGCGCAGGGCTTGGAGGGAGGCTGCGGCTGCCATCACCAGGGGTTGCAACAAGGCCAAGTCCGGCTCTTCAGGCTGCAGGACAAGGGTGAGCTTCTGCATGGATGGCAGAGTGTCCAGCAGCAGGTGGGTGAAGGCCACGAAGGTGAACTGACGCAGGGCGAGGGCCAGTGCCCTGGCTGTAGGGGAGGCTGGAGCAGAGGCCTCCAGTGTGGGCACCAGGCAAGGCCAAGCCTCAGCCACTGCTTCCACGATAGGCAGCAAGGAGGCCCAGGGCACTGGCCGCGGTCCTGCCAAGTCAATAGCTGCAAGGTCCAGTGCTGCCCGCAGCTCAGGGACCATGTGAGAACTGGGGCCACCATGGAGGCGGAATAGGGCATCCAGCACACTTTCATATTCGCTTAGGTAGGCAGGGGGCTCGGGATCTGTCCGGCCAGGGAGGCAGTGTAGTTCGGTGAGCAGCGGGCAGGCGGCCCGGAGTTGTGGGCCCACACGCCCAAGGCGGTCACTGGGGAGGCTCGAGCTGAGCCAGGCCAGCTTGGGTGCAGACACGCCGAAGGCCTGCAGGATGTCCAGGAGTTGGCCAGCGGTGGCCTCACCCTCCTGTAGCTCCACACTGCCCAGGAAGGTGGTAGCAGGCTGGCCATCACAGGGGGACACCGAAGTGGCAAACAAGGCCAGACTGTGGGACTCGGGCCAGTCCCTGGTCTCGTCCAACACCAGCCCCACATATGGGGATGCCTTCAGGCGCTGGCAGGCCTCTGTGTGCAAGACACTGGCAATGGCCACCTGGGACAGCCAGGGAGAGAAAGGAAGGGACAGAGTTAGGCTCCTCCTGCAAAGGGGAGGCAGCAGTACTGGGGAAAGAAAGGGCACAGACCTTGGGGGCAGACAGACCAATCCTAGCTTTGCATCTTACTGGCTGTGTGATCTTGGGCAAGTTATTTCACCTCTCTGAGCCTCAGTTTCCTCAGCTCTGAAATCAAGCCACTGCCTGCCTCTAAGCTCGTAAAAGGTTGCTATCAATTGGGGCGCCTGGGTGGCTCCGTCAGTTAGGCGTCCGACTTTGGCTCAGGCCATGATCTCCTGGTTTGCCAGTTCGAGCCCTGCGTCACGTTCTGTGCTGATAGCTCAGACCCTGGAGCCTGTTCCAGATTCTGTGTCTCCCACTCTCTCCGCCCCTCCCCTGCTCATGCTCTCTCTCTCAAAAATGAATAATTAAAAAAAAAAAAAAGGGTTGTCGGCAATTACAAATGTTGCTGTGCTTGTAAGTGTAAAAATGCTTTAGGAACCATAAAGATTCTATAGCATTTCATGTGTGCTTTTATGGCATTGCCCTAGTCCGCCTTATTCCTGGGAGTCTCCCTCCACTCTGCTGCTCAGGGATTAACTGATAGACATGTTCCCTCCCAGTTACATAGAACCCCAACTGTGTGCTCCGTTTGTCTGTCTGTCATCGATCACTCTGTAGGATGAGATCGAACTCTCCCACCCTCACCCCAGCCCCTAGGACTCACACAACTGGTACCTAGGACAGAGCTGCAACTTGCATGCCCCCTGGGGCCACATGGGCGGTACTGGGCTTGAAGTGGGCCAGGGATACACCAAAGGGAATGGCGAAGCCCCGGGTCTGCTCTTCATGCCCCGAGAATATAGGGACCTAGCTTTTCAGAAGTCACAAATCCACATTTTTATGTGTAATCTCTCACTTTTTCTTTTTTTTTTTTAACTTGGAAATTAACTTAGGTTTTCCAAAAGCACTGTGAAAATCAACAAAATGTATCTGTGGGCCGATCGAGGCTCCAGGCTTGCAACCTCTGGCCTAGACAGCGAGGGAAAACCTCTGTGCCCCTGAGGACAGGGCCTGGTCTGGCCTCTTCCAAGCTGTGCCCCCAGCAGCTGGCCCAGGGCCTGGCACATGATACGCCTCAGTGAAAGGTTCTGCTGGGTGAAGGTATGAATGAAGCATTCTGGCTGTTGCCCGGGGGCCTGGCATGCTGGCGCTGTGCCCAGACAGCTCCATGTCCTCCCTCCTCCAGCCCTCCCCCACACCTCTGGCTGCCACCCACCTGCATGTCCCTCACCCTCCTGGGGCTGTAGTAATCGCCATGCTCCGTGCCCAGCAGCGCCTGGCACAGGTTGAACCTCTGCAGCTCAAGCAGGGCAGAGCAGCGGTCGTCGGGCACGTCCTCCTTGGCCATGCAGTACACCGTGGTCAGCACCGCCACTTTGGCCGGGTCCACCTCCACCTTGACGCCCGTGGGGGTGGGGGTGGTGGCCAGGTCTGGGTAGGCCCCTCCTCCCTCAGCTTGGCCCTCAAAAGTGGGCTGGCCCCGGTTGACAGCCAGAGCCTGGCGGTGAGCCCCCGAGGTCACGTGGCGCAGCAGGGCGTGGCGCTGGAAGTTGTCGGTGCCCACGGTGAAGGCGTTCTCGGCTTTGCCGTGCTTGTTCCGCACCAGGGCCTGGCGGCACTCGAGACAAAACATCAGCTTCCGCTCGTAGTCGAAGTCCAGCCAGGGGAACTCCTCTTTCCAGTGCTCGTTAAAGTAACGCTTGCATTTTTTGTTGGAGTTGGAGGCCTCTCCGGCTGGTTTCTTCCCCGGGGGTACCATTCCTGCTCAAGGGGCAGGGCACCCCCGACCCCACCCAAATGCTCTGGTCCCCCAGGCTCCCCCCACACACGGCAGCACCTCCTTGACAATGGGAATTGTGGGGGGAGGAGGGGAGCAGCGCGCCAGGCTAATGGGGACCATCCATCTAACTTAGCTGGGAACGGTTATTCCCGCTCTGCTGGTGGGAGACTGGAGATGAAAGAGACAAGGGAGAGGCGTTAGGGGGTCCGCGGTGGGTTCATGCTGCCCACAGAGCACTCCCCAGCTGACGGGTGGACTGCACCTAATGGGGAAGGGCTATTGGGAATGGGTGGGGTCATGCAAAGGGCCATAGAATGTTATCCAAAGTGGGGGAG